CCGTTTGAAATTGTGGCACCACATAAATGTTAGGAGCTGTCTCTTATACACATCTAGATGTGTATAAGAGACAGGTTGTTGCCTACCCTACCCCCCTCCCCCTCCCCCCAACTGTCCCTTTACCACTCGGACAAAATTGGATGCAAGTTGTTGCCTACCCTTCCCCCCCACCCCCCACCCCTTCCTAGTTGTTGCTTACCTTGGTCAACCGTTCATTGCAGAGAAGCTCAGGGACTCGGACAAAATTGGATGCGAGATGTTGCCTACTTCCCCCCAACTGTCCCTTACCACTCGGACACCATTGGATGTGAGTTGTTGCCTACCCTTCTCCCCCCCCCCCCCCCCCCCCCCCGTTGTTGCTTACCTTGGTCAACTGTCCATTGTCACTCGGACAAAATTGGATGCGAGTTGTTGCCTACCCTTCCCCTCTCTCCCCCAGTTGTTGCTTACCTTGGTCATCTGTCCGTTACCACTCAGACAAAATTGGATGCGAGTTGTTTCCTCCCCTCCCCCCCACCCCCTACCTGCTGCTTACCTTGGTCAACTGTCCCTTGCAGACAAGCTGAGGGCCTTGCAATGGAAGCATAACCACTCGGACATTGGATGTGAGTTGTTGCTACCCTTTCCCTCCCCGCCACCCCTTAGTTATTGCTAACCTTGGCCAACTGTCCCTTGCAGAAAAGCTCAGGGCGTTGCAATGGAAGCATAACCACTCGGACAACATTGGATGCGAGCTGTTGCCTACCCTTCCTCCCCTCCCCCTCCCGTCCCCCCCCCCCCCCCTTTAGTTGTTGCTTACCTTAGTCAACTGTCCCTTGCAGAAAAGCTCAGGGCGTTGCAATGGAAGCATAACCAGCTCCTTCAGAGTCTCCTTTACACCCTCCAATGCTCCAATATGATCAAACGTCACTCCAATTTCGTTTGGAGGGATGACTTCTGACAGTAACCTTTTCTCAAATTCGTTATCTGTAGCCACATCCTGCAGTTCCACGACGAAACAATGTTACAATTCCATCCACTGTCCCTTCTGGACATTCATTAAAATTGTGACACTGCAGAGAACTGTGTCTGCCTGTCATACGGATACGGCACGTTCACACGTACGGTAGTTCCACTCCCCCAAGGGGAATTGTCACATAACTATAAATCAAAGAGCGCAATTTGCAAAACAAACGGCAAAAATAATAAAATATATATATATTTTTTAAATAGTT